TATATATATATAAATAAAATGACCGTCACTGGATTTGTTTCGCTAGTTAACCCAGCCTAACACACCCTTCCAGTGGTGGTTAGCATAGCTGAGGATTAGGAAGAGTGAAATACCATCATGGCAACAACTACAAAGAGCTACACTGCATTCAGCTCTTCTGGGCCCTTGAATTCCAAACACTATCTTTCCATCTGACTACTTATTTGAACGGCCCCACCAGGCTGGACTTGACCATTATGTCACAGAGATGGCTCATTCTGACTGTATTTTAAATCTAAATATTAACAGACATTTCCCATTGTTTTGCTGCAGGAGCGTAATTATCAGAATTAACTTCTTGAAGATAATCAGATTATTTCATTAGACAAAGTATTCAGGGAGGAAAAAAAACTCTATGGAATTAATTATCCATGCTAATGATTTACTGGGACCAGGTAAACAAAGACCATGAGAACACTAAAAATAACCATCACAATCTAATAAAATTGAGATTGGACAAAACTTAATGAAAAGTGACATCTTTTGTGAGATGATACCAAGCAATTTTGGTTAATTTGGTTAGCTTCAAGATGGCATTGTGGTTACACGGAAAATGTTCATATTCTTAGAGATGCATATTAAAGTACTTAAGATTTAAATGATGTTTAGAATTTGATTTTAAAACAAAATAGCAAAAAATAAAATGGATGAGATAGAGTAAATATAACCACTCTTGATAACTATCCAATCTGAGAACTGACTATATTGGGGTGCATTTCTGTATTCTACTTCTGTACGTGTTTAAAATTGTTCACAGTGAAGAAGAACAGCAGCACCCACAAATGGCACGCTGTCTGGTCTCTGGCCTCTGGAGGGACAACCCTTCCTTCCTCTCCACTCCAAAGCTTCAGCCAGACCCCACTGCACCTGCCAATGCCTTCCATTCACGGCACATAGGAGCTGTGGGTGTAGCCATTTCCCATATGAGAAAGCAAGTTCTTTTGAAGGCAGCAACCCCGTCTGAATCCCTGCTTTTCCATTAGGCATGGTGCTTTACACACATCACATCCGAAAAATAGATGGTGCTTAGAAATAAATAAATAAAGGTCAAATGGATAGCCGGTGTAATGAATGTTTATAACTACTGCTTGGACCAATATTGAGAGTATCCATACCAGGTGGGTAAGGGGAAGGTGGGGGAAGATAGGAGGAAACTGATCACAATGATCTACCTATAACCCCCGCTCCCAGGGGAATGGACAACAGAAAAGTGGATGAAGGGAGACATCGGTCAGTGTAAGACATGAAAAAATAATAATTTATAAATTATCAAGGGTTCATGAGAGATGGAGGGGTAAAATGAGAAGCTGATACCAAGGGCTCAAGTAGAAAAAAAAATGTTTTGAGAATGATGATGGCAACAAATGTACAAATGTGCTTGCCACAATGGATGGATGGATGGATGGATGAATGGATTGTGATCAAAGTTGTATAACCCCCCAATAAAAGTATTAAAAAAAACACCAAAAAAAGACTGCTTATAATTTTCCCACCCACTTTCCCCAGAAAGGATGAAAGGTTGGCCCACCCTAAAGAGAGTGGAGCTGAGAGTATCTCTACTAGTTAGACACCTACATCTCAAGGACCTACGCTATTTCCATCTAGAACACCAAAAAGCTGGGAAACCCCTGCTTTGACTACTCTACTTTTACTCTGCTTATTATTAAGGTGCTCCTGGCAATCCCTGGGCTTTTATCCCAGCAATAATGAAGGCTAAAATAGTCTTATCAAACTGTACTGAGAAACCAAAATACAACTTTCAACTCACCATCTTACAAAAGAAGGCACTGAAAGACAAATATTAATAAGAAGTGAAGAGCAGGCCACAATGAGGTAGAAATGCCTTGCTATTCTGCATCAATCAGATGCCGGTTAGTTGACTTCAACTGCTGGTGACCCCAAGGATGTCAGAGCACCACTGTGCTCCATAGGGTTTTCAATGGCCGACTGTTTGGAAGCAGATTACTACACCTTACTTCCAAAGTGCCTCTGGTTGGACTCGACCCATTAACCTTTCGGTTAGTAGTCAAGTGTGCTCCTGTTTGCACCACCTGGGGAATCCATCTTTAAGGTCAGGTAATCTCTCTCATGGAAACTGTGATACTCCTCAGGAAGGATGTGGATGCAAAATCTTTAACAAAACATTGGCATCCACACTGGGTTATGATCAACCTAGCTCTGTCTCAGGATTCCAAAGTGTGAACACATCCATAAAGCAGTTCAGCACAGTAACAGAATACAGGAGGAAGACCAAAGAATTGTCTCAACATAAGAAAAGCATTTGACAACACTGAACACTGTTCATGATAAAATCTCACAGCAAAATGAGAACACACGAGAATGTCCTCAACTTGATATGGATCACCTTTGAAAAACCTACAGGGAGCATCAGAACTCTATTCGACATGGAACTTCCAAGCAGTACAATAAGGGGGAAAAGAAAGAAAGAAGACTGCATCTGAATATGTCCTGATAATTCACTCAGAAAAATCCTACAAAACCATTACAGGAATACGTAAATCCGCAAGCTGCAGGAAACCTGGTCAATATATAGAAATCAACTGTATTTCTATATGCTAACAATAATATATTAAAAATGAAATTTTAAATAACCAATTACAATAGCATAAAAAAGATACTTAGGAATAAATTAACAAAAGACAATATTGCTAACACAATGAATTAATCTACAGATTCAAAGAAATCCTATCACAATCCCATCAGGCTTGTCTATGGACACAAACAAACTAGTTCCAAAATGTACATATAAATGCAAAGAGCTTCGACTAGACAAAGCCATCTTTAAAATCAGAGAGTAAAGTTCGAGGATGTAATCTACCGAATTCAAGATTTACAGCAAGGCTACAGTATTCAAGGCAGTGTGACACTGTCCTAAGACCAGACCAACAGATCAGTAGAACTCACCAGAGTCCAGAAACCAGTGATTATTTATATGGTCAACTGATTGCACTTGATTCTGACAAAAGAGCCAGAACAACCTGATGGGAAAAGAAAAACTTTTCAACAAACCGTCTAGGAACTAGACAGCCCTTGAACGAAACTAAAGCTCAGCCTCCACCTCATGCCACACACACTGATTCAAGATGAAGCACTGAAATAACGTAAGTATTAAATCTGCAGAAAACTTTCACCCCCAGGAAAAAAAATCCACAAAGTAATTCTAATTAATGTTATTCAAATGAAAATACTCAGAAGTGTACTGATACTTGCAATATACTTTGAAGTATATAGGTGGGGAAGGGAGAATAAGATGAATTAACACACACACACAAAAAAGATGAATTAACACCTGGGTATGTACATTTATGATAAATTATAGTTATAGAATCAAACTGATGTATGTGTACATGGGTATACAGGCTGTGCAATTCTTTCAACTTTTCAGTATTTTCATATTTTAATTATGAGTTGCTGCATGAATAGTATCCACCAGATATGTAATGATAACACTAGCACTACTGGCACCATTAACTAAGCAACTGCCATGTGCGAAGCTTCATGGCGGGGACTTACCTGTGCTACACCTACTCACCACAGCAATCCTGCCAGGTAAGTATTACTATCCCTATCTGCAGATGGAAAGTCATTTGTCCAATCTCATCCATCTAACAAACAGTAAAAAAAAGAATTCTACACCTGCATCTGACTCCAAAAGTGATGTCTCCTTTCCATTACACCATCCACCTTCATGATGAACCCAACGGAACTGGCCAAATTATTTTACTACACTGCAGTGAATACAATTTTAGGCGATTGACTAGTAGTATAAATAGTGGATTAAGGAGCTTTCAAAATGAGATAGGCTGCCATTTCACTGAAATAGAGTAGGCTATAACATGGCTATTCCTTGTCTCCTGTCAACAATATGATGTGTTTTGTGATACTAGACATAAATGCCACAACCACGACACGATTCTCTCAGACAGAATTACCTCATTTCTCGTTCTTCATGCTGAGCGATAAGGTTGCTATAAAAATTCTCCAGTGTCACTTTGGTCATGGTCACCCTCTCCTTTGTGTGGTTACTCATGGACGAGCAAGGCGCAGAGCCTGTCATGGCCATGGCTGCGAGAAACAAAGCAGAGCAGAGCTGATTGATTTTGGACTTGGCATCCAGCACTTATGCACTCTCCTTACCCCACTGACAGACTGGACACGGTACACGCTTCCTGGAGGACAAACAAGTAATGTGTAACAAAGGCCAGACAACTGAATTCACTAAGGACTTAGTGAAAGTGGGTACACTTTGCGACGTCCAACCCAGATATCTCACCCCTGGGAACAAATCCTAAAGAAATTCTCCCAAAGGCCAGGAGGACGTACATTACAGGTCCGATGCTTCTTTTGTCATCACCATGGAATGAGGAGCTAGAAGCAATTCAGTAAGAAAATAGGTACAACAGTGCAAATGAACTATCTGAAACCACCACCAGCCTGCCTATACCTACCTGCAAGCAACATGAATTTACCTTTAAAATTAAGTGCTAACCTTTTAAAAAGGGAACAAGATCACAATACTAGTTTATACATTTAGAATACGTAACATGGGCAGAGTATAACTCTCTGCCATCTAAGAATCTATCATGAAAATCCAGAGGCCTAGGGGGAACCGATTACAAGGATCTACATGTGACCTCCTCCCTGGGAGACGGACAACAGAAAAGTGGGTGAAGGGAGATGTCGGACAGGGCAAGCTATGACAAAATAATAATTTATAAATTATCAAGGGTTCATGAGGGAGTGGGAAGTGGGGAGGGAGGGGAAAAAATGAGGACCTGATGCCAGGGGCTTTAAGTGGAGAGCAAATGTTTTGAGAATGATGAGGACAACGAATGTACAAATGTGCTTTACACAATTAATGTATGTATGGATTGTGATAAGAGTTGTATGCGCCCCTAATAAAATGATTAAAAATATATGTATATATTTAAAAGGAAAAAATAAAATTTAAATTATAATACTGTAATTTAAAGATGCATGAATTGTTAGAAAAAAGAAAAAGCAGAGGCCTACAAAGATTCACACACAGGGGGTTCAATGTAACATTATTAATGACGAAAGAAAACTGAAAATCATTTGAACATATAACAGAGGACTGATTAATCATGAAAGAGTCCTTCCTATCTTGGTATACTAAACAATTAAAACGTTAAAATTTTATGCTCCCAAAGTATTAGTCCCCACCAAAAATATACAACAAACATATACAATTAATTTTGCACATTTTTCTTTGTGAAGAATTTGTCCAAATTTCTGAATATTTTTAAATGAGTTATCTTTACCATTAATTGTTTATGTATCATAAATACTAGTCCTTTGTCATATATTTAATACAGATAATCTCACCCAATTGGAATCAGGGGTATTGTTTCCAATTTAAGTGAAAAGTACATTTTACATAACGGATTGTACCTCATGATGTCAATTTTGTGTGTGTGCAAGGAGCCCTGGGGACTTAACAGTTACACGTTAGGCTGTTAATTTCAAATTCAACCGTTCTAAACCACTAACCACTCCATGGGAGAAAACTAAGGTTTTCTACTCCCTTAAAAAAGTTAGTCTTGTAAACTCACAGTGGTAATTCTACCCTGGTTGCTGTAAGTCAATCAACTCAATGGCAGTGACTTGGTTTTTTTCAGTGAATTAACTCTAGACAATGAGTACAATTCTATCCTTGCTAGTGCTTTTCCACGTTTTCTTTACTGAGCATGTACTCAAGGTAAACTTGCTGCCACCCAGTCAATGCTCAAACATCAAATGTGTCATTCATATATTTCAGCTATTGCTGTTAATTCCAAATCCTAACTCATGGCTACCCAGTACGTGTTGGCCAGAGTAGAATTAGCCTCTACTGAGCTTTCAATCACCAGAGTTTTCTTCCATGGTGCCTTTCGGTAGACGTGAACTAGCCACCTTTCAGTGAGCAGCCACACACGTTAGCCAACTACACAAACTAGAGACTCCCGTATGCATATTTAACCACAATCAAATCAAATAAACAAAGGATCCTGGCGCTATCATTTTATATACCAAAAAACTAACACCAATAATACTTTTTCCCTAAATTAAAAAATATACATATATATTCCCAGTTCATACATGCACATGTTTAAACATGTATCTAAGCAAGGGATCAGTGGATGCCTGAAGACAGGTTCTCTCAGTAATAACACCTGTCTTAGTCATTAGGATGACTTCAAAAACAAAGCCCAATCAAAACAGTGGCAACCCCCTCAAAGTACCATCACCTATCCCACTTCCTCTGTTTCCCGTTTCCCTTTCTCCTTTTTTTTTTAACTTGTATGTTTGTTTTTTGATCATTTTATTGGGGGCTCGTATGTTTATCACAATCCATACAAACATCCATTGCCTTTCTCCTTTCTTAACCCTCTGAATTGTGTGTTTTGGGTAAATGCTGTCCTTTTGATCTTAAATAGTTCATTATTCTAACAAGGAGTTAAGTTCAACTGCAAACCTGAAGTGTCAAGGCCTTAGTCTGAGGGGTCTCCCTAGTCAGTATTAAGCCTGGCCTCTTTGATGATTTTGAGTTCAATCTACATTTTTCTCCACTCTCTCCAGGATTTCTAATGTGACCCTTTTCAGAGCAGTGGGTAGTTATAGTGAGGCTCCATCTAGTTCTTCTGGTCTGAGGGTTGTAGAGACTGATATTTGCATGATCCCTTAGTCTATTCAACTGTTCCCATGTGTCTTGATTTCTGTCACTCCCCTTTCCTCAAGATGGAGAGAGGCCAATAGCTGGACCTTAAATGTCTGCTCTAGTTTTAAGGCCCATAGCTACTCGCCAAATTACGATGTGGAACATATTTGTGAACTATGTTATGCCAACTGATCGAGACTATGGTCCTGAGCCTCTAAGCCCAGTGACTTATTCCCTCAACAAGTTTGGTTGTCTTCCAAGTTTTCACAACTTTGATTCCTGTAAGTTCCAACACATTCATGGATATATTTGCAGCAATGCTAACTATCCATGAGCAAACATTATCTGTCAAACCTACATATATTTGTAAGTATATTCCTACTCTCTTTCCTATACCTGTTCAGCCTGCGTGTCTATCCTAGAATCTACTCTGAGATTCCCACTGTTGCAGAATTGTATATATAACAGAATTTGTCTGTTAACTCTTGTAAACCTCCTAGTGTCCTAACCTTCCCCTCACCCAAATTTTTACTTCTCTACCCTCTTGAGGTGTTCAAATTTTCTTTAAGTTTTAGAGATTAATGCCTTGTCCAATAACTCACAGTCAAAAATTCTTTCCCCAAACTGTGGCTTGCTTCTCTTTTGGTGAAATATTTTGGCTTTTACTGTTTGTGTGCCTTACATTATTTTTGATAGTGTATTTGTGCCATGATTGTCCCTATTTTCTCATTGATGACCTTTATAGCTCTAGGTTTTACATCTCAGTCTTTAATCTATCTTGAGTTCATTTTTTTTTAATGTGGTGTGAGATTTGCATCCTGTTTCATTCTTCAGCAAATGGATGTCCAGTTTTGCCTGCACCATTTGCTAAAGAGACTACCGCTTCCCTGTTTCACGTGTTTCAGTCTCTGTCAAAGATGGAATGCGCATTGGTGGATGGATCTGCTTCTGGGCTCTCTATGTTCCACTGGTCTGTGTATCTATCACTGTCCAACACCAGCTTGTTCTGCCTACCATGGCTGTGTAGTTGAGGACCGAGAAGTGGAGAGGCCTCACACTTTGTTCTCCTTTAGTAATGTTTTACTTATCTGGGGTCCCCTTCCTTTCCATATAAAGTTAGTAATTTGCTTGTCCACCTCTTTAAAGAATGATGCTGGAATACACACAATCCACCTCCTGATGTTTGCAAACCTATATTGTCACACTAGGAGATTGTCCACCAACCCTGACTTCCTCCAGCACAGGCAACAGGGTTCCATAGCTTACCTTTATCTTACCTTCCTCTCACATAGCCTGCCTCCAAGTCTGTCTTTTCACCCAATATAAAATTGAGTAAGAATCAGAAGGCATCAAGAACTACTGTCAAAGACAGTGAACTTTATGGCATGTTTTCTTAAGGTTCTCCCTTGAATACTTGGCAGCTTTTAAATATATTTTATAGGTTAAACTAAGGCTTTTAAAGAGGTGCAAAGACCTGTTATCACTAAGAAAAAAATAGATTTAACATTAAGCAATTTCTTAAAAAGATAAACAAAGGAGAACTGCCCCACAGGGTCCCCTTGGCTCTCATCCCTGCCAGAAGCAGACGGCCTCAGTTTTCTCTAGCGGAGCAACTGGCAGGTGTGGTGAGCAGTCAAGCACTTACCCAGTGCACCACCAAGATGCTCCAACAAAAACCAAATAAACAATAATCCCTGCACAACAAGAAAAGAAAAAATAATCCCTTCAAAGCAAAGAGAGTCAACATCAAGTCTACTTCAGGGTCAAGCATTTTGATTCATGATGTGCCAAAATGATGTGTAATCACAAATTCAAGATAATGCATTCAGAACTATCTCAACCATAAAATATAGTTTTTTGATTTTTTTTTTAATAGGGAAGTTTCTAGCGATACCAAAGCAAACTCAAATGTTTTCAGACTATCAGTAGACGGAAGAATTTTTTTTAAACTGTTTGGTTTGTGAAGCTTGGGTGTGGTTCCTTATTTGTCAGCCTGTACCCCCTCCACCCACAATGAAAACCACATTCACTCTAAGTGCACTTGATGAAGAAATTTTCAAACCAATTGTAAAAACAAGTCAGAGGTAACAGACTTTGTGTGCGCGCGCGCGCGCACACACACACACACACACACGCACGTTCATTTTAACTTATATTAATTCTACCTAAAAAGACAAGTTGAGAGTGTTTACACTATCAGGGCCCCTTGCTTATATACCGGGCCAATAAATTCTCTACAAGGCTGGTTTTCAACCTTCACACCTAAATCGCTAATGTAATGGCAAAGATTGCATTATCCTTCCTTTGACCTTTCTTCAAACTTCCTCTTCCTCCTCTTATAAAAACTTCAGCCCAGTTCTAACAACCTTTAATCAAATTACTATTGCCCAATTCATAGTCAATTCATAAGCTTACTGAACCAACCATATACATTTCAGGCTTTTGAGAATTCTAGCCTTTGTGCACTAACCTACTGGCCACTGGGTGCCATGGGCCTATCGCTTCACTCTCTTTCAACTCTGCAGGAAACACCAAACACCAAAGGCAAACTGCCATTGAGTCCTCCTATGCAGGATTTCCAAGACTGCAAATCTTTGCAGGAGCAGGTAACTAGGGGGTTTGAACCGCCAACCCTGCAGTTAGCAGTCCAATGTCCAACCCAGAGGACCATCAGGGCTCCTTAGGAAGTAAGAGGTAGGCAAGACATGTTTGAAAGTTTAAATTTTTAAACAAAAGGGGGATATGATACCCAGTGAAGTCAGAGGTGGAGATGGCGAGCACACAAGTAGGGCAAATGAAAGCCACCGTTTGATTTGCTCAAGGGTCACCATCTACTTGGCTTTAAGTCAGTACTGTTCACCCTACGAACACCTCACCAATACTTTCTCTGTGACTGACAATCAGATATGTCACTTGGGCAATTCAGCACTGGAGCCAAGACTCAAGGAGCACAACCTCCTCTTGGAAATCCAGCGTCCTATCTTACTCTTTTGAATACCCTCACCGCTATCTTAAATGCACAGCGCCATGCACTGAACAAGCACCTTATAAGTTATATTTACTAGGCAAAGCAGAGGGTCAGCAAAAGAGAAGACTTTCGTTGAGATGAACTGGCGCGGTGACTGTAACAATGGGCCCACCCTTTGTAATGGACTGTGAGGATGGTGCAGGGCCAGGCAGTATTTCAGTATTTTGTTCAGCACTGGGTGCAAATCGATTCAATAGCACCTACCAAGGGGGGAGGGGAAGGTGCTAACTAAAATTTCATCTCAATTCCTAGAAGTGAAGAGCATCTGTGGGTGATGAGAGGTGGGGCTGACAAGTGGAATCGTTTTCTATTGTGAGTTCAAGGGCGCGCGTTCTTGCCCTCGGACTGGGAAGCAGATAGTTCATCGTTGGGGCAGGAAGAGGAGCCTGTGACTGCAGTGCTGGTTTTAGGTCTGAAGAAACCACATCGACTGCCTGGCTAGGTCAAGAGGCCAGGTGTGTTGAAGGGGAGAGGAAGCAGAGGGACGGACGCCTTCTTTCCGAACCTCCTCTGGACATTTCACAAAGAGCAAGCTCTGCGAACGAAGACACTGATTTTCCCCTAAAGCCTTGTGGATTGCCTCCTTTCCTCTGGCTACATTCCTTTCCCACTACTCTCAAGAATCTCCACTGCCTTTTCCTAGTGATCTTTAAGATTACCCTAAGCCCAGAATCCTAAATCTAACCGAGGGAAATAAAACACTCAGAAGGCACCGAACCCCTAAATGGGGGCTTTCCACATCTCTGCCGGACTCCCTGGTTCCGGCGATCTCTGCTCCCAGGTTCCGAAATCCCAGAAAAGGGGAAAGGGGCTGGAAACTGGCCATGACTGAGAGCCCGGAGCGGGGCGCCCAGACAAAGCTGGCAACCGGGAAAGCAGAGGAGAGGCTGGCTCCCCGCCCCAACGGCACCCGAAAGGAGAGCAAGGGGCCGGTGGGAATGTGAGGAGGCCCCACCAGAGGCCCCGGGAGACCGCGAGGGCGCAGGACAGGAGGCTGGACAGACGGGCCACGGAGAGGGGGTTGGGCTACAAAGAGGGCGCCAGCGAGAAGGAGCCACGGGGAGAGATGCAGGGAAAAGTCTGCGGTGGAGTGGGGGCGACGGCGGTAGGACACTCACCAGAGCCCCGGGGAGGCAGGGCTACGGGCAGCGGGCAGCCCAGACGCGGGCCCCGCCAACGGTCTCGACGTGTGAACGCACAGAAGCCGCAGAGGCAGCCGCCGCCGGTCAGGCCAGGGGAGGGGACCCGCGAGCGGCTCTGAGGTAGGGGCCGTGGGACGGTGACGAGCGTGGACAACAGGAAGCGCCTCAACGGCCGGGAAAGACGGCAAGGCTGAGGGGCCCAGCCAGCCCGCCCAGTGCCCCGCAGCGGAGAGGGGCTGGCGCGGAGGCCCGGCGCCGGCGCGGCGCATGCGCGACTCCCTGCGGCGCAGCCCGAGGTGCAGGTCTGCGCGTGCGCGGCGCCGCCCCACTCCTCCGGGACCCGCCCCCTCGGTTCCCCGCAAGCGAGGTGCGAGGGATGGGTGGGGCGGTGAGTGTGGGACAGTCTCGGGCGGGGTGGGCCGGGAAGAGGTTCCTCTTGATTTTTTGTTTTTAAACTTTACATTTTGAAATAATTATAGGCTCGCAGGAAGTTGCAAAATGTGTACAGACCTGAGACCCATCACCCACCCAGCTTCCCTCTGCATCTTACATAACTACACTACAGTCTCAAAACCAGGAAATTGACAGTGGCATAGTACACTGAATTCGACAAAAGTAATTAAATTACAGTCCTCACTCGAACTTAACCAGTTTGCGTGCGTTCATTCGTGTGTTTTTATGTAAGTCTGTGAAATTGTATCGCATGTAGTTTTGTTTTTTTTAGCTCATTGATTTTTGACCATTATAACAATTGAGCTGAAGACCTTGTCTACTCTGTCTGAAACCTAAAACCAAACCCATGGCCTTTGACTGGATCAGACTCATAGTGAGCCTATCAGACAGTCCCGTAGAATTTCCAAGTCTGTATCTCTTTACAGAAACAGACGGACACATCTTTCTCCCTGAAAGCCTGGTGGCCTCCAACCACTTGGTTAGCATCCAAGTGCATGAACCACTGTGCCACCAGCTCCTATGCTTATCAGTGTGCATGGAAGAACCTGCTTTTCAAGGCCACCCAACAGCTTATTAAGTACCACCTCCTGGGGTAAAAAGGTCTTTATTAACCTTCAGGTGTTCACTCTCCTTAAAAATGGAGCCCAGCGCTATCTACACAGGAAGTGTCCGGCTCCTGGTTACAAAGAGGAGTAAGACAGGGATAGTCTCTCCCTGCCTGCAAAGGGGTCATGTAGGGAACAATACAGTGAACCCTCCTCGTTAATCGGTTCTAGACCCTACCGTGATAAATGAAATTCCGCGAAGTAGGATTCCTTATTTGTAAATCAAATATTTTCGTAGTTAGAGCATAGAGGACATGAAAAAACACCCTTTAGTCACCATTACACTCGTATTACCCAATTTATTAAACGAAAAAGGGAAAATACAGTAAAACATTTTGGACGTTACGATTATCATTTATTATTTATTATATTATTTATGGCATCTAGTTTACAGTATTACATATTTCACATACAGTATTATTATACATAGTTCTTACAAATACTGTAATCAATAGCCTATGAAATGACTTAAGGGATGTACTCTACAGGTGGGTCGCCGTCTTTTTCCTCTGAAGGAGCGGGTGTAGGGGCGCTTATTTTTATTGTCAGAAGGCTTAGAAGAAGCAGCTCGTTTAGGAGCCATCATAGGGCTTAGATAAAATTTCTTTAAAATCACAAACAATTACAGTACACTGTACAAAAGCAAAAATGCATCTGATACGTAGCTCCGATACGTAGCGATACAGACAAAAGCGTGTACTGTATGAGCCAATCAGTGGCAGTAATGACAGAGCATGCGCTGTTACGCAAAAACCGCGATAGAGAGAAGCTGCGGAAGTCGAAGCTCGAAGTGGCGAGGGTTCGCTGTATACCCTTGTGCACAAGTCATCTGGATATTCTGTGATACTCTGTGTCTCCCGAGGATCCCTGGTAAGCCCTATTGGCACCAGCCCCTCCGAGGGAGAAAGATGAGCCCCCTGCGAACATTTGGAGACCTTACACGGAGTCCCAAGGAGTTAGAATCAACTCGATGGCAGTGGGTTTGGTTTCACTGTTGTTTGTTTTTTTAATAATCCCTCCTGCTTCTCTGGGGCCAGAGGCTGCTTTCCATTGTTCAAGTTGGGATCCCAGGTTTTGTTCCATAATAGACCATTATGACTGTTTTCATCTTTCTCGACTTCAAAGTCCCAGTTTCCTTTTGTTTAGCCTCATATAGGGGCCTCTTCATCTTTCATCCTCTCTGTCCAGAGGCCCTTCTCCCCCAAGGCCTTTTGACAAAGTGTTATGGGCCTTAACAACAGTGCAAGATGTTTGCATAATGTTTTCCAGTTTACAAACCCCTTTCACCTCGACTGAGCCTCACAACTCTTAGGCAGGTTATATGGGGATGAGGCTTCAGAGATAAAATAACTAATAGACAAGCTAAGTGATTTGTCCGACTGCTCACAGTTTATAACCCAGCAGCCAAGCAGGGAGCGCCATTGTCCGGTTGCAGATCCCATGCTCTTCCTGCTTTTCCTCTTTTCTTCCTCCAAAACACAACTCTTATCTTATCTCTCCCTTGGAGCTTTCTAGGTTTCAGGGGAAATATTTCACTCTCCTCTCTATGTTGTTGGTGGTGCCATCGCATCGGCTCTGACCCATGGTGACCCTATGCACAACAGAACTACACGCTGCACGGTGCTGTGCCCTCCTCACAATTGTTCCAATGCCTGAACCCATTGAAGCCGCCACGGTCTCACCCCATCTCATCAAGGGCCTTCCTCTTTTCCACTGCCCATCCACTTTACCCAACATGATGTCTTTCTCCAGGGACTGGTCTCTCCCGATAATATGTCCAAAGAATGTAAGATGAAGTCTTGCCATCCTTGCCTCTGAGGAGCACTCTGGCCTTACTTCCTCCAATACAGATTGTTATACTATTAACCTAAAGGTTGTCAGTTCAATTCCATCCAGCAGCTATATGGAGGACCTAATGATTTGCTCCCTGTCAAGCAGTTCTACTCAATATCCTTTGAGTCCTCAGGAGTTGGAATCACCCAAAAGGCAATGGGGGTTGTTTGGGGTGTTTCTTTATACTCATTGTCAGGGATTTAATTATCTCCCCCATACACACACACACACACACACAAAATTAGATAGATAGATAGATAGATAGATAGATAGATAGATAGATAGATAGATCGATCAACTGGAATGGACCATGATTAGAGACAGGGGGGTTGTCCCTCCCATGCCTGCAAGGGCCCTCACAAAGGAGGTTAGAAAGAAATCAGGCACCCTATTGGATACCCATTGGAGGACCCAAACAGAGCACGTACCTACACAAGCCCATAGACCCAGGTAAAATCAATACCTTGGACAAGCCCACCTTAGGTACATTAGTTATGTAATGTAATCATTAGGTACTTAGTTATGTAATCATGTATTGTAGTTGTTATATGATGATCCCCCATGGTGTAATCTGATGAGATAAACCAATCAATTATAAAGGTATTAAGGATAGGATGTAACAAACTTAATCCTATCACAACCCTGATCCAATATGAGGGCAAGTTTCCCTGGGATGTGCCTGCAACCCTTTTTATCTTACAAGAGCTAAAAGGAGAGAAAAACTAGAGAGAGACCTATTCTGTTAGGTAGCTAGCTTAGGGACAGGGGGGATTGTCCCTCCCATGCCTGCAAGGGCCCCCACAAAGGAGGTTGGAAAGAAATCAGGCACCCTATTGGACACCCATGGGAGGACTCAAACTGAGCATGTACCTACACAAGCCCATAGACCCAGGTAAAATCAATACCTTGGATAAGCCCATCTTAGGTACATCACAGGTGAGCCCTATGGGGTCAACCAGCCAATGGGGCAACCAATACCATCAGTCACGCCCCTCCAGCCATAGGTTTGAAATATCCTTGCTGTGGGAAGGCTCGCTCTCTTTTACCCTGCTGGTCAGCGGCAGGCGGCGGGTGAGGGTCTCCCTTCCCTGCATGGGTGCGCATGCACCCACTCCAGGCCTACTCAGGGCCCACAGTCTCTTGGCCCACATGCTCTTAGGGCAGCCTCTAGGGTTCTTGGGCTTCTGGCCTCCCTACCCACCCCCAGTTCCACACGTGTGGGTGCTCTTTTCCATGTGGTTGTTCATGCCTAGTTGTGAACCCCAGCGCAGCTTCAGTACAGCTTGGCACGCTTTCCAGAAATGCATGAACCCTTTTGAGACTGTAAGACGTGAAACTTGTCCTGTCCTTCCTAAAAACTCACTTGGATTACAAAACGGTGTGAATTCGTTCAGCGTGCGAAGCAAAGAACCGAGATATAACCCACTTCAGGAACCTAACATTACCCCCCAAGAAAGAAGAGTTTGTCCTTTGGAGATAGGGCCCCTGTAGTGACAAACTACTCGACCCAGGGGAGAACTGATGCCAAGACACATGACGGTCTCCAAGGAAGGTCAGGTCTACAAATGTTTATAGCAGATAAGGACCTTCCTCTTAAACTATGCACCAACAGAGTGAGGCAATCTTTCCCTAGGGTGGGCGCCCTGACTTCTACCCTGCTGAGCTGCGAAGGGATCAACTGCTGTTTGCTAAAGCCCTCCGCTGGTGGTGTGTCTAGTATAGCAGCAGCAGATGACATCAAGACAAGTTATGGGCTGGCAGCAAGAACATCGTGCATGAAAAACAGCCAAAGGTCATTAACAAGACAAGACCAAAAGAAGATAGCGAAGTGGATGCCAGAAGAGGCTCCGAAACTTGCTCTTGAACGTAGAGTAGCTACAGCAAAATGGAAGAAACGATGAAGTAAAAGAACTGAATATAAAACTTCAAAGGGCTGGCTTGAAAGTAAAGTATTATAATGAAATCTGCAAAGACTCAGAATTGGGAAAAGAACACACCGAGCATATCTCAAACTGAAAGAACTAAAGAAAGCATGTCAGCCTCAAGGTGCAATATTGAAGGATTCCAGGGACAAAATATGGAACGATGCAGGAAGCATTGAAAGACGATGGAAGGAACGTACAGTCATTGTACCAAAAGGAACTGGTCAACATTCAGACACTGGAAGAGGTAGTCTAAGGAGAAAGAGATCCAAGCTGCACTGAAGGCAATATTGGAAAAATAAGGTTCCAGGAATTCACTGAATACCCACTGAAATACAGTGACACCTCAGTTGTGGTTGTCGAACGGCTCCAAACTCGAACTTTCCACTACTGGTACAGCCAAGT